GGGGCCAAAGAGCCACATGTGGCTCGCGAGCCGCAGTTTGCTGACCACTGCCCTAGGCAGAGTTAAGGTTTATTGTTCTGATGTGCCTCTTTGACTTTGTAGGCACCTTCATTACAGCCATCATTTTATTTTAACATAACCCTTTCAAATTGGTCTTCCCTCATATACAATGAATTTCTTGATAATAAGGTTTTCACCATATCATCCCCAGTACTCAACATATTGTAGGTGCTGACTAATTATTCAAATATAAGTAACTGGAAAAATGATTAAAATTAAGTATAATTTAATTAATTATTAAGAATCAAAAAATAAAGTTTGGAGTCATAGCAGTTTAGGCTGCCTAATTACTAAGAATTACTAATATTCCCACTTTACAGATAAAGAAACTAATGTCTAAAATGATTAGGTAACTGATTCAAAAAAGGAAAATTTCAGAAAAGAAATATAAATGGTTCTTAATTATATGAAAAGGTAAGTGTAAATTAAAACTATTTGTCACCTATCAGACTGGCAAAAAAAAAAGGTTTTGTAATAGACTCTTTTGGCATGGTATAATAGAACTTTCAAGTATTACTGCTAGAAGTATAAATTGAAACCACCATCAATTTAGCACTACATATTGAAATAACAAATTTATATATCCCTCAAACCCAAAATCCACTCTTAGAAATTTATCCTACAGAAATACCTGTATCTGTTTGAAATGCTATATGAACCAGAATATTCATTGCTGCATGGTTTGTAATAGCAAGAGGTTGGGAAAGTTTTTTTTGTCCACAGGCTAAATATGTTATGGTATATCTAAAACAGTGGTTCTCAAAGTGTGGTACCCAGACAGTAACATTAGCATCTCCTAGGAACTTAATAGAAATGCAAATTTTCAGACCCCACCCCAGACCTCTTGAATAAGGGATTTAGGGATAGAACTCAGTAATCTGTATTTTAACAACACTCCAGGTGATTCTGATACATGTACATATTTTTAAAATACTGATCTAAGCAATGAAGTACCATGCAGCTGGAAAAAATATGAAAAAGCTCTCTATATCTTGCTAAGGCATGTTTGCCAAGATCCTTTTAGGTGATGAAAACAAGCTGCAGAAGAATGTCTGTAATATGTTATCTTTTGTATAAAAGGAGAGAAATCATATTTTAATTGGATTTTATATAAATTTTTTAAACTCTGAAACTCTGGATATTTAAGAAATTTAAAAAAGTGATTATCTATGACTGAGGGTTCTTGGCACATGGAAGACAAGGAATAGGAGGAAGACTAGTGACTATGAACTTTTTATACTTTGTAATTATTTTTAATCACATGAATTAACTCAGATAGATAGATAGATGATGGATGGATGGATGAACGGACGGGCTTTTTTTTAAAGCATGCTTATCATCAAAGTAGTGGCTAGAAATAATTATTACTTTGGCTAGTTGCTTCTACTGCATCATTGTGAAGTTTTATTTTTTCTTAAGAGTTGCTGATAACCTATAATAAATTCTAGTAGATAACACTCAAATGGACACACATACACTTTGATGTGCACACACACATGTGGATGAACGGACGGGCTTTTTTTTAAAGCATGCTTATCATCAAAGTAGTGGCTAGAAATAATTATTACTTTGGCTAGTTGCTTCTACTGCATCATTGTGAAGTTTTATTTTTTCTTAAGAGTTGCTGATAACCTATAATAAATTCTAGTAGATAACACTCAAATGGACACACATACACTTTGATGTGCACACACACACATGTTACACATATGCAGAAAGGACTGGCTGGTTTTATTGTTTTGTTATCAAGACAATTAATTTTCCCATTGCTATTTCCAAGTTTAAGGACTTTTCCTGCCCAAGTGCAGGAGATGACCCAATTACAGAAAAGCACATCTACCCACAAACCGCCTGCCTAAAATGAGGCAATCATTTAGACTTAAGGGCCATTAACAATGTAAGAGTCAGGTCACAATGATAGGTAAGTAAATTAGATAAGATGTGCACCTCCTATATTGTGACTCTACAATATGAGCAAAGCCCAACAGTTTAGATAATTTCAAATGTGCAACATCTGCTGAGACCAAAAAATGTTTTGTGGTGTCATAATAGATGTCTGTCTGAGTGAACTGCTGTTATAAATTTGATGTGTGACACTTGATAATTACTAAGGGATTCAGTTGTCCCCTCTGTTAAAAAAAATTAACTTACTCTTCATCTATCTCACTGGAATGTGATGGGAATTAATTAAGGATTATTTTAACTTAGCAATATTTTTAGCACTTCACTTCCAGAAATTATACAAAAGGCAAATAGCCTTGTCATAAATGTATTACCATTTTGTCCTATTTTCAATGTAGTGACACTCGGACAGAGGACAGAGTTAAATCCCAAGATCCCTTCCTGCTGCCAAACTCCAAAATGGAATCAACAGCAATGACCTCACCTAAATCTCCAGAAGGGCTGGAAAATTACAACTCCAGGTGGCTCTTTCTGGCTTCTGTCCTCGGGAGACCTTTACAGGCCCTGTGCTGTGGAACATGAGGCCTACCTACACTTGGCATTTTTATTGTGCTGTTTACTTTTATCTGAATTTGCTTCTGATAAGTACCTTTGAAGTCCACATATTTCCTGAGACTACTGCCCTGCAAATGCCCAAAATGAGCCATGAGAACTATTAACCGGTGTCTTGACCTGCTGTGGAAGCTCAAATGAACCATCAGTAATAGGACATAAGAGAACCAAGAGAAACCATAGCTTGTGATGGTACAATTGCTATCAGGGTACTTATCTATTTCAGAGATAGGCTGTAAAGATCTTGGAAAATGTTTGCCAAGTGTTTTGAGTCCTAGAGAAAAAAAATATTAGTGGAATCCTTTGAGACAAAGAAGGGAAAAGAGGTTTTTTAAAAAGTCAGAAAGACCAAAGGGAATAATAAAAATTCAATTCAACAAATATTTGTTGAGGGCCTCCCAAGTACTAGGCCCTGGCCTTAGTACCAAGATGTGTGAGGATAGCACTCTGGGGCAGGAAGGAAAGACCAATTTAATAGCAACAAGGTAGATTAAAATAAATCTTATGAGAGAGGTGTTCCTGTTTTATTATATGCTTGTTTGCTTGTTTGTTTCCATTTCCAGCAACTAGCACTGTGTTTCACACAAAGAAGGGACTCAGTAATACTAAAGGCATGAATAAACAAATAATTGAATACACAACAGTGGGGGGAAAAAACTTGTTTCTGTCCTCTAATCGTTTAATGTCTCACTTTCTGCATATTCCCCAGCCTATGACTTTAAAACTGTATTCATCACTTAAATGGTGCCTTTTAGAAGCACCATTTTTAGCGTTTGAAGTTTATTAGCAGCAACTATTCTTACCACTTGACTACTATACAGAGGACAGCTTGAAGCTTATACTAAAATAATGCTACTATGGCTGAATGTTTATGTCCCCTACACTCCCCCACCCCCCACCAAAGTTCATATGCTGAAACCTATTCCCCAATGTGATGATATTAAGAAGCTGGGCCTTTGAGAGGTGATTAGGTCATGAGGGTAGAGCACTCAAGAATGGGACTAGTGCCCGTATAAAAGAGACCCAGGAAGCTCCCTTACCCCTTTGATCATGTGAGGACACAGTAAGAAAAGGACCCTCTATGAATCAGGAAGCAGGTCCTCACAAGATACTGAATCTGCAAGTACCTTGATCTTGGACTTCCCAGCCTCCAGAACTATGAGAAATAAATGTTGTTTAATCAACAGTAGTCTATGGTATTTTGATATAACAGCTTGAATAGACTAAGACAAACACAAATTACATGTTAGGAGTAAGAAGACCAACTCATCCCTTTTTGCTCAGGACTTTCCCCTACTCAATAGTGAACATCCTGATTTCTGATAAACTTCTCAGATCCAGGCAAACTGGGATGGTTGTTCACTATCATTAGGGATTTCCTGTAGACATCCCTCAAGTATTTTCCCTACATTTTAGTGTCAGACATTGAAAATGTTAGACTGTAACTTCCTGGAATACAGATTAGTGATTTCCCTTCTATGAAGAGTGAAGCGCCTCCCATCTCTCACTTCCCTCCAAAACATTCACACTTTTAAAAGTTATGTGATTGTCTTCACTGCCAAGAAAACCTATTACTTATATCAGAAAAGTTTTAGAGTTGAAATATAAATGGAATTATTAATCTAGTCCTCTTTTTCCAGTGAATCCCAGAGAGGTGATCAGCCAAAGTTATACAACTTTTAGTCAGCAACACAAGGCAAATATTCAAGTCTCCCAATTTTCAGATTAGTATTATTTCTTTTAAAGGCATCTTTAAATTATATTTTATATTCAATAAACCCAAACATAACTATTTGTATTCCTTTTTACTAAGCTTGACCATTTCTAATAAAATTCTTCGCAATAGTTTTAAGATCAAGTTATAATTTTCAACAGTAGCCTGGCCTTAAGCTCTTCTATTCATGATTACAAAGTCCTTTACCTCCTCAACAAAATAGGCATTTTTAAAAAGTACTCTTCTATTTCATAGATTGCCAAACTCTATTCCTCTACTTGCCAGAGCCCATTACTGCCTACTGGGTCCCATGATTTAACAATGCACATAATGCTTATCAGTTTAACAGTGCCATTTAAACTCTCCAATAACCACAGAAATAGTTTGGGGCCAGGTTTTATGGACTATGTTCAGGCAGTATAGAGGATGAATTGCCCCCTAAACAGTTTGGTTTAAAAAAAAAAAAAGAAGTTCCCCTCTGAGATTTGCACCACAAAATCAATACAATGCATAGTGATAGAGAAGCAAAGTTGATTTACAAAAGTCAATTGAATCCCAGACATACATAAGGCGAGTTTGAAGATATTTGCCAATGACTAACTAGGTCATTCATAATGAAGGTCACTGGATAAGTCAGAGGAGCTGATATCCTTATCAGAAAATGATACATCAGGCTACCCTTACCCTGCTGCTCCAAAATTCAAACCATGAAACAAACTACCTTTATTTGAATCCTATACCCACTTAATATTCTTTGACTGAACTTCTAAAATAGCTTGCCTACAAAGACAATGTTCCTAGCCAAAGAATATCGCTGTCAATTCCAGTGATCTTACCTTTCTCATTCTAAATTAATAAATTTCCATGTTAGTTAAACATCAGTTGTCATGAATTTGGTTAAGAAACCTTGCCTTGGGAGAAGCACCACAGTCAGGAAGGAAAGCCCTAGTCTTCATGGATTATGGAGAATTCCTTTGGAGGCCTCTTGGCAGCCAACCAGTTCACCTCTCCTAGTGAGGCACTGCCCTTGGCTTTATTTTCCAAACAAATGTCGCCTGATAATATATCATAGTTACTCAGTTAGTATAATTGTGGGCTGAAACCCAGGCCTTTGAATCCAATTCCAGTGTACTTTCCCTTTCTGATTTTGTGGCAGACACCTCTGGTGTTCCATACACATTGTCTTAAACATGTAGAAATTCAGACTCAGCTGAAATCCACATGAGCTTAGACTACCCTCAGGTAACAGTGTTCCACGTCAAGGCATGTTCTTCATCTTCCTACTTTCTGCCAAAGACCTTTTCTGATGCCCCAGAAGCCTTCTCAGCCCATGCACAAGCACAATCCAGAGGCTGCTTTCAGGGACAGCCTTCAACCCAAAGGGAAATGAGAGAGTTGGATAAATATCCAATTCCTATCCTACAGGGGGATATTTCTGAGAGATATGCTGCTCAGGAAGTCCCAGAAAAATCAAGGCCTTGTTTTCTATAACAATCTTGATAACAACTCCCTTATATTGGATTTTCCTCCATCTCTCCCACTCCCTCATTCCTGCTTCCTGGGATCACTTCCCAAATAAAGTACCCACATTCTTTTCTCAAGCTTCACATTGAGGGAAACCCAAACTGAGAGACATCCTCAGATCCTCAGACTAAACCAAGACACACCTTCTTTCCTCCCAAAACCCAAAATGTACCTCTCTCCCGGCTGTTACCTATAGACCTATAGAAAGCACACTCTCGAGACTTCACAGGAGTCAGAGAAATGGTTTGAAGCCAGGTTTGATGGCCCATGTTCTGACCCAGGAAATCAATAATTCTGAACTCTTGCTCAGAGAGAGCCCTCTGGGTCCCTTAAAGGGCCCTAGAAGCCAAGAGAAGAAGTTACACTCCTTGAGTCCAGAAGAATGCAACAGATGCTCCATCTTGTGGGCTTCTGCAATTACCAACAATCCAAGTACTCCAATGATCTACTGCTATATAATGAACTACCCAAAACTAGTAGCTTAAAACAATGTCAACATTTATTTTGCTCACAATAATATAGTTTTATAAATTCTGTCTTGAGGCCCTGCCTGGCTAGAGGTTGGTCAGTTCCCCTTGTTGAGCAGCTGGTTAAGGCCACACCCCCAAGCACCTCCCTTATCTGGCTCTCACACTCCTGGCCACTATAAACCCTCCATAATCACCCCAGTGAAAGGAGTTTTAGGAGTAAAATAGGCAGGTTTAGGGAGTTTTAGGAGTTAGGGGGCCCATGGGGGAGGACTGCCTAGATGAGGGCTTGGAGCTGTCAAAGGCATGCATTCATAGAGAGAGAAAAAGAGATGCTACAGGATAAGGGGAGAGGAAGGCATCCATTCACAGAAGATGGGGAAAAGCCACAGGGTATGGCGAGAAAGAGGAAATAACCATTCACAGAGGACAGAGAAATGTTGACAAATGGGAGAAAGAGGAAAACAGATTTTCACAGGCGATAGAGAATTCTACCACTGAAGGGGGAGAAAGAGAGGGGGGTGTCACGTGGGTTTGAGCTTTGAAGCTGATATAGTGACCAACTGGACGGCAGTATAAACAAAGAACTGCAACCTTAGCAAAGAAGAGCTTGGTAGGTCACCCCCCTTGGGACCCCCTCCCTACATGGGAGTCTGTACTTGCTTCCAATAAATTTCCACCCTTTGCACCTACCACTTTTTGTCTGTGGCTTCATTCTTCGAATCCACCTGCACACAAACCTGGGAAAGAAACCACCCTTGCATCCTGCTCAGGAAAAACCACCCAACTCACTGGGGCCAGGTACCAGACAAGCTGGGACAACCCCTATGCCCCAGAACCTGCTGATATTATTCAAATTAGTCAATCCTCAGGCTGCTTGTCTTGTCTTCTCTTTTCTCCCTACAGAAACCACAATAAAGGCACTTTTCCAAAGTCTCCCCTTCTCCCCCTCGATTTATAACAGGTCCTGGTGCTTCCGATGAGTAACTCCATGAGGTAAGTCATGTTCAACCCCAGGGAACTGTGAGTTTTAAAAAAATTGTAAAACTCCTTCCCATTTCTCCCTCTTGATCTGCATCTGGTCTCCCCATACCTCACCAAAGGTAAAATTGTTAAAACACTCAACAATCTTACCATTTTGGTAGGGCTCAATGGGGATATTTCACCTCTGTTCCATGCAGCACCAGCTGGAGGCACTCAAAGATTGAGTGATAGAACCATGTGAAGGCCTGCTTACTCACTCACAGATCTGCCATTTGATGCTGGCTTCCAGCTGGGACCCGAGCTGGGATGTGGCTGGAATGTCTACATGTGGTCCTGCCATGTGACTGCTAAATGTGGGAGAGGTAAATAACTTGGGGAAGTTACTCAGTAAATATAAATCTGACTTGAGCACAGACTGGGTTCCAAGGGCAAGCATCCCAAGAGAGAGTCCAGTGGACGCTATATCATCTTGTCTAACTTAATAATTCATGAAGAAACAATCATAAATTAAGTTTTTAAGAAACAGTTAAACAATAAATCATGAAGAAACACTTCTGTGCTGTATTCATCATTAGAAGTGAGTCACTAAGGCTGGCCTTTATTTTGATGAGAGGAGTGTCAAGGAATTTGTGAACCAGAGTGTCTGTCCTTTGCTGAACCTGCCATCATTGAACTTGCCATATCATCTTGTCTTAAAGAACTGGTGTTCGGATTCCCTAACCTCCTAGAAACTGATCCCTAGACTATCTGAGACCTGAGAAACACACACTGAGAGGCCAAATTATTATGACTGGCCAGATTATTATGACCACCCCATCAGTACTTCGTTGGGCCACCTTTTGCCTTCAATACTGCGGCGATTTTTCTTGGCATTCACTGGAACCAGCTGCCTGATGGCTCTTTTAACTTCGTCCCACAAATGCTCAATTGGATTGAGATCTGGTGATTGTGGGGGCCACCTAAGCAAGGTAAAGTCTCCCTCATGTTCTTGAAACCACTCCTGCACAATACGAGCACCGTGGCATGGCGCATTGTCTTGTTAGAAGAAGCAATCTTCATTGGGATACGCCATCAACATGATCGGATGAACTTGATCAGCAATGATACTTAGGTATGTTGTGCTATTCAGACGTTTATAATGATCTGGCCCTCTAGCAACTTCAGCGCGAAATAATAGCTAATTTGCCTACAAATGTCAGGTGGTCATCATAATCTGGCCACTCAGTGTGTGTGTGTGTGTGTGTGTGTGTGTGTGTGTGTGTGTGTATTGATTTGAGAGAGAAACAGATGAAAGAGAAACATTGATTGGCTGCCTCCCATATGCCCCCTACCTGGGATCAAGTGGCAACCTTTTGATGCATGGAACAATGCTCTACCAACATAAGATAGAGCGAAAAATTCTATACATGACATTTAAAGTAATGAGATTATATGCTTCCTAAAATAGAGAAAAATCAATTTTTATAGTCACTTGAAAGACTCCAAACTCACAGTTCCAATCTCTTTTTTCTCCACGACTTTTGAAAATGAATGCTGTGGTAGCCAGTCTCCACAATGGTCCCTAATGATCTCCATCTCCTGGTATTCACACCTATCTGCAGACCAGAGAATATTGTGAAACTGACAGTGTGTGACTTCCAAAGTTAGGTCAAAAACATTGTGAGTTCTACTGTGTTCTCTCTTGGATCATCTGCTCTGCAAACAGCAAACTGCTCTGTTGTGGGAACACTCTGTCAGCCTGATGCAGAAGTCTTCATGGCAAGGATTGAGGTCTGCAACCAACAGCCAGTGCTAACTTGCCATTCCTTTGGAAGTAGATGTTTCCAGATCCAAAATGGCCTTCAGCCCAGCCAACATCTTAACCCTCATGAGTCAAAATCACCCAGCTGTGCCATTCCCTGAGTGAGATAAGAAATGTTTATTGTTTTAAGCTGCAAAGCTTTAAGGTAATTTATTATGCAGCAAAAGATAACTATAATAGGCCACTTGAAAAACTAAAAACAGATAAAGGTTTTCAGAAGCTCAAATATGATGCAAAAACATGTCTCTTTTGTTTTCCAACACACTTGGGTTTGTTTTGCAGGTGGTTTGTGGTGGTGGTTATTTTTTTGTTTTTTGGCTTTGGTTTATGTGTTATTGACACAAAAGTACTGATATCATAAAAAGTGGGCACACTGATCATGAAAAACTAGGACCTAAAAATGATAGAAGTGTTTCAAAGGAACTAGCCTTAACCTGTAAACCAAACGAGGAAACAGGGCAGAAATGCAGTACTTGGTTTCAGGGAGTTCAAAAGAATACAATGTGGACTCTTCTTGAAGTATAGATATAAAACAGGCCACCGACAAACACTGCTTCCTTCTTGCAGACTTGGCTCTATGCATTTGGTAGCTGAGCCATTCAATATGCCATAATATAACCTAATTTATGGGTACAAAAATTAAACAAAGCACAGATTTATCTTTATGAAAGATGGAGATTAAAAGTTGAAATTAGAGCCCTAGCCAGTTTGGCTCAGTGGATAGAGTGTCGGCCTGTGGATCAAAGGGTCCCAGGTTCAATTCCGGTCAAGGGCATGTACCTTGGTTGCAGGCTCCTCCCCAGCCCTGGCCCTGATCAGGGCTAGTGTAGGAAGCAACCAATCGATGTGTTTCTCTCCCATCGATGTTTCTCTGTCTTTCCCTCTCTCTTCCACTCTCCCTAAAAATCAATGGAAAAATATCCTCGGGCGAGGGTTAACAAAAATAATAAAAATAAAAGTTGAAATTAGAGAACCTAAGGCCTGGGAGGAAATAGTGTGAAAAAAATGAAAACAATTTCCATAAAAATGTATCTCTTTAACAAAATTTAATTTACATTAAGTTCTAAGAGATTAAACTAAAACCATAATTATCAAACCTCTCTATTATTCTCTTATTTTCCTACTTTTCTTTCAAACCCTCTACACTGCATATTTCAAACATTCACATCCAACCTATAGCCACACACCTTCCCACAAACACACCTCTTCCTTCTGTATAATAACTATAACCTTCCATAGCTCAACAATGAAAAGGTGATAAATCTAAAATTATCTGATCTCAGCAAGTTGAAGGGAAAGTTAGCCTAAAGTTAAATTTAATAAAAATGCTGCATCCTCAAATGCAAAGATTGCACATAGACTTACTTTAGCTCCAATAAAAGAATACACATCCCTTTGGTGCTTTTTAAACTGGCTTCCATGTTTACAGAAGTAGTCTGTTTAGTTCTGCACATCCCAGGAGGGTTTACTAATCCTGTACCTGCTATTTACACAGTCACATTCCTCTCACTGTGCCAGATCCCTGAGCCTCCTAAAAGAATTTTCCTACAGGCCCTCCAGAAGTTGCAGCTGGCAGGGCAAATCCTAGAGCCTCACTCACAGAGATGATATTCTGAAGTTGCTACAAAGTATTTATTCACAGCCCACAATTTAGTACAAACAAAAAATTAATAGCATAAAAACTTTCACCACCAAAGATTTTCATTGTGACTCATAGGCCCCATCCCTAAATTTAATTCTACCACTATTCAAAGACGTTTTTAAATATTCAACTTCATTTCTTAATCTCAGCTGCCACCCTAAACCAAGAATTATTTTTTTAACAAAGTAATCCAATTGCTAATTAGTTTCTCTTATTTATCTAAATGTAATATTTAGATTAAACTATTTGGAACATGGGGATTTAAATTTCACACTCTAACCTTTCTGAATCTCTTTTTAAAATGTTCCATGGTAACAATTCAAAATCTTATTCTCCTTTTAATCACCAGCTCATTCACTTACTCAGTTCCTTTATTTCCAAATTGTTACTAATCCACAAACAAGCAGATAGGATTGAGATGAAATGCAGAAAAAGAAATGAAATCATGTTAGAGCAACTCAAACATCGAGTCCCTACATATAGATGGCATCCATATTTAGCAAGATCACTGGGGCTAAATTTAAGAAATGTTTTACGTCTCTATCCTATTAACTATACATTTTATTTATTTTAAATATTAAAATATTTGGGTGAAGAGAAAGATGTGGAGGGCAATTCAGTTTCAGAATCTGCAGATCTTCCTTTGCCGAAGGAAGAGGTGAAGTGTCACACAACATTGGAGATAATCAAGTTGCTTACCTTCATTTAGAATTTCCTTTATTAAGACTCTGCAGTCAGTCTTACTGTCTATGTCTATTTTTAACAAACCATCAGAGAGAGCCACTGCAAGGTTTTTGGTTTCTACAACTACCCCAGACTACAGACTTTAAATGATTGGATCCATGTCCCATCCTGCCCACACATAGAATAAATGCTTGCATATAGTACTGTTTTCTAAGACGCACATGTTTAGGTCTTCCTAGATCAGTATAAAATGGAGTTGGAGTGAATTGCCTTTTTAAACTTTCTGTGAAGTCTTGTTACAATACAGTCTAAAATTAGAGAAATGTTAAAATAGAAGACATTGTGATGAAGAATCATTGAAGTCTCTGGATCTCCTATTATAAATGTGGTTCTCTTTCAAGATGAGTTTTACCTTTTTAAAACATCAAAGCAGGTCCAACAAAAGAAGACCTACAGATTCTAAAACAGAATCACAGAGAACTAGGCCATGTTAATAGTAATGCAGTGTAATTGGGTGCATCCAAAGATACTATTGTTCATATTTTCCATTGTTGGTTAAAATAACTCTGTGTTTGACTTTGGTTTATGTGTTATTGACACAAAAGTACTAATATAATAAAAAGTGGGCAACACTGATCATGAGAAACTAGGACCTAAAAATGTTAGAAGTGTTTCAAAGGAACTAACCCTAACCTGTAAATGTAATTTATTATCAAACCAGGAAACAGGGCAGAAATGCAGTTCTTAGAGCCCCCTCATCATTTTTAATGCCACCTGGTCATAGGAGCAATTAAATCTATCAAAATAATATCTCTCTGACCTGGGGTTCAGATGCTAAAATGGCCAAATCCACCAATAACTGAGAAATGGCCATCAAAACTCCCTGAGGGTACTTCACACACTGTCCTGAGTATCACAATCATCCGGAGGGCTTGAAATATGTGGTGCCCCAAAACAATTACAATAGTAACAATAAAGATCACTCATCACAGATCAGGATAACAAACATAGTAATAACTTAAAAGCTTAAAATATTCTGAGACTTACCAAAATGTGACTCAGAGACACAAAGTGAGCAAATGCTTTTTAGAAAAAATGGTGCTGCCCAAACTGGTTTGGCTCAGTGGCTAGAGCGTTGGCCTGCGGACTAAAGGGTCCCAGGTTCGATTCCGGCCAAGGGCATGTACCTTGGTTGTATGTGTGCAGGCTAGGGGGTGTGCAGGAGGGAGCTGAATCTATGTTTCTCTTTTTAAATAAAATATATTAAAAAATCAATAAAAATATATATAAAAAAAGAAAAATGGTGCTGATAAATGCAGAGTTGAAACAAACTTTCAATTTGTTTAAAAAAAAACAATACCTGAGAAGTGCAATAAAATCAAGTGCAATAAAATGAAACATGCCTGCATTTACCATTGATTCATTTGTAGTTAGGATACTAGGAATTTAAATTACAATGGATTCGTTGGATACCCACAAATATATGACTATGTGAAAAAAGCAGGACAGTCATACCAACCTTTTATGTCCTTTTTATTGCATCATGGATTGATTCGATGTGTTTTAAGATTAACTATTATCTTAGTGGAATTGATGTTATGGTAAATGTTATCCCCAACCCCAAGTCTTCACCTCTCCTTACAACCATGTTCTTTGCCATGTGATTTTGCAGTTTACCCCATTCAAATAGTACAGTATATTTAGGTTTGGCCACATGACTTGCTTTGACCAATGTTTTGGAAGAGATTGTGTTCCAGTTCTGAACTTAAACCTGAAGAAGCTTCACAAGCTTGTTCTCGTGTGTTTCTACCATTGCTATAAGAGGAATATACCTAGAAAACTTGCTGATTCCAGGAAGAGCATGAGAAATTCATGGAGCTAACTCTCCCAGCCAGCTATACCAGCCAAGAACACATAACACCTACCTACAGGAAAATGAGCTAAATAAATGTTTATTGTTGTATGCCACAACATTTTGTGGTGATTGGCTATGTGGTACTTTTGTAGCAATAGCTAACTAATATTGATATTTGTAGGAATAAAATAGTCTAATATCAGCACTTACCAGTCATAATGGATATAGGCATATGAACCATAAACCAATTATGTACCAGTCAAAATCAAGAAGACTGTTACATTACTTCCTCTTAAATTTCCCATTTTAAGAAAATAAAGGTTCAAAATACAGATAAAATAGGTATAGACAATTGCTTTATTCACTAAACAATAGTTATAAATAACAAGCAGTCCTATCATACATAGAATTTTATTTGCTTTACCAAAAGAAGACTTAAAAATCACATTTTAGAACTATTGTGGAATTTTTTTTAAAGTAGACCTGCACACTGCCTTTGAAGAGGATGACAACTTATTTTAATGATAGTCATTACATGAGAGGTGTTATCACTTGTCAATTAATTTTAGATGATTTCTTTGATTTTCTTTTGTCACTATATATATATTTTTTAATTCACTTGGGTCAATACCCAAAATTTAAGCAGTATAATAGCATGCTTAATTTTATTTTTGCATTCACAGTCCTTGATAATAGCAAACTAATTTATGTAGCTGCATTTGATGAAAATATGCTGATGGAACTCATATTTCACATCATTGACTATAATGAGCTATTTTATCAAACTGTCCTTATGACAGTGTTACAGAGAAAATGATAAATTTACCAATTTACTCACTTGAGATTCCATTTGAAAATTTTAAAAGAAAGGAAAAGATCAATGAAGTCAGGTAAATTAGGCTGTCATCATATGATA